CTTTCGTGAGTTAAAACTCACGAAAGCTTATGCCCAAATAAATCTGTTAGTCTTTAAGGTGCCACCAGACTCCTTGTTGTTTTTGTAGATACAGACTAACACGGCTACCCCCTGATACTTGACAAAATATAACCACATACTCTTATGTAGCCCTACATAGCACTATGAGCTACTGCATGTCTAATGCAACTCTCCTTTGAGCTATATTCACTCAGAAAAAGTTACAGTAATTTGCATAGTTGAAATGTTTCTAACACACCCCTCAGAATCTGTCTCTGATGTGCTCAATACACACTTGCTACACTCGTCACTGTCACAGCTGCATGCCTCAAAGCCCCCCAAATCTTCCCTGCAGCATTTATATCTCCTTGTTCCACAGCTGCTCACACAGCTATACTGCAGAAAGGGGAGGATGGCTGCTGGAGCAGGTTGGCGGCACCATCATTGTAGGAGCCAGCTATCCCATGCTATCTATTGCCCATCCCTTGTTGACAGGGGACACATGAAGCTATTGAACTGTTGCATGATTCCGTATGTATGACTGATAATTTGCACCTTTCAGGTGCGACCCGAAGGAGGCCATTGTTCCCATTTTACTGCATGTTAGCCAGAGATGCTTGCTTCTCCCCCCAGTACAATAAAGATACCAGTGAGCCATAGGCTGCTGACTCTGAAAAAGCTGCAGCTGGCTGGGCTTGCAGGTACCTACCTTCAAATCTTGCTGGTGATACTGAGCAAGGACTACTTGTCAGCAGCCACTGCTTGGTTCTTTCACTCTCTGGTTAGCTCAGGTCTGTCCATGCCCTGAATTCAAAGTAATGGTCCTAATTTAGAAAGCCATCAACAGGCAGAGACGTAGCTACCTCCCAAGACTGTTGGATCATCTTTGATACATGACCAGGGCCGAGCGCTTTTGCCTCTTTGCCCTCAAAACTGCTCACTCAGTAGGTAATGGGAGCAGGCTTATAAATGACAGCATGCAGTTAGGTTACTGACACACCCCCAGCTGCTATTTCATGCTTGTTCTTGGGATGGGACAAAATCACTCTTTTTTTGCACAATACTAGGGGCAAAAATGAGCAGTGTTCATGTAGAACAAGCCTCACTAGCCTTCCCCTCAGCTGACCAACACAGCTCCAAAAGCCAATAAGCCCAGCATTAGTAGACTTTCACTTTGGTTCTACAAAGTGGAGCTGCTGTGAACAAGACAGGGAATGCCAGCCAGTGCAAGAGACATACAAAGGCTGCAGTAGCATTTCTGTTTAAAAGTTAAACTATACTAGTAGAAGGCTTTGGTGCAAATTTGTGATCATAGTCAAGGAATTCTTGAGAGATACAGCTCCCCTCTCCTCCTGGCAAAGGACTTGTGCTTAATTTTAAAATGCAAATGCAGCACCAGCTTGGCTTGAGAACTGGTATGCCAGATAGAGATCTAGTACAGTGTTGGGGTCAGTTGGTGACTAGAATCTCCCTTTTCCTCTGACCCAGAGAACTCCAGCAGAGTTTTAGTTGGAGGTACAAACGACACTGAGCCAGGGAGTAAACTGAGAATGAGTGTGCTCAGTACCTGCTACAACCCCACACCACACAAATCAGGGGGATTACAGGCATACTCAGCCTGTACCATAGGAAATCTTGGTTTGATTTCCCTCTCTATGTGATGAGGAGGGATCATACCAGAGAGTTCCCTCAGTCTTTCCTCTTGAAGCTGTTCCACATTAGTTCACTATTAATTGGGCTCACACAAGACTTAAATATGAGCAGCCCACTCTAGCATAGTGGTTAGCATCTACTACTACCGGTAGGAGGTTAGTAACCCTAGTTCAAATCTACCCTCTGGCTGTTGAGGAGATGGGATCTGAACAAGGAGCTTCCTCAGTCTTTCCTATTGAAGTTGTTTCACTTTAATTCACTATTTATTGGGTTCAAACATAAGCAGCCCTCTCTAGCATGGTGGTTAGGGTCTGCTACTGGGGGGCTAGCAACCCTAGTTCAGTTCCCCCATCTGCCAGATGGGATCTGAACAGGGAGCTTCCTCAATCTTGCCTATTAAGGCTGTTCCATTTTAATTAACTACTCACTGGGCCAGCTAAAAAGCTAGAATCACTCTCTAGTCCTATAGTTAGGACTCTCACCCAGAATGCAGGCAATCCTGGTTTGAGTCCTCCCTCTACCCCTGAGACGGGGTTTGAAGAGGGTTCTTCTCTCTCCCAAGTGACTGATGTGGGGGGGTCCTTGTTTAAATCCCCTCTCATTCACAGGAGCCATTGTCTTCCTGAGAAAGGAAGGGGGCTTGAACTAAGAACCACCCACGGGGCGGGCAGTGGTGCAGCAGTCCTTGGGATGTGGGAGATCCAGCTTCAAGTCCCCTGGCAGAGGGGAGACGGGATCTCCCACAGTCTGGGACAAGAGTGATTTATTTTTATTTTTTTCCTCCTGCGCCCACTTAATTAAAAAACAAAACCACCTAGGTAGCAAATCCCTTCATGGAAAGAAGAGGTGGGTATTGAACCTGGGCCTCCCCCACCACCACCGCTCACTACCATAACCACTGAACTAAGGAAAGCGCCTCAGAGCTACCTCTGGCTTTGGCCCAATTAATAATTAAAGTGGAAATGTTGCGACAAAGAGCAACCCACACATGTAGCTATTAAAGGGGTAGTAGACAACATGGTGGGGGGGGGGGGGAGCCAGAAAATCTTAATCATGTGAATAAAACAGACAATAGACAGGGGAGCAGTGGCTGTAGGACTACAAGGGGCGTTTATGGGGTATAGGTGTAAGCGGGTGACTGGGAGTGCGAGAGGGGGGATGCTGTGACTGCAGGTCGATATGTAAGAAGAGGTGGCTGAAGGGGTGTGTGGGGGATGGTGTAAGGGGGTGACTGGGGGGATGTCGGGGGAGCTGCAAGGCAGTGGTTGTAAGCAGAGATGTGAGGGGGAGATAAGCCGGGGGTGGCTGGGGGTGTGCAGGGGGGGTGCAGGGGTGTAGGTGTCAGGGAGTAGCT